TCGCTCTACTTCATAGCTGAAATACAATGCCGGCGAACGGCGAACTCACCACAGCGAAATTCGCGCTGTCAAAATTAGAACACCCGCAAGCATATGAAATTGAACACAGCCAAAGCGAAATGCGAAGTTCGCTTAGCGGCGTTTCATGGCGATAGATTTATTTCTATCGCCCTGCTGGGCGATGACAGCTGTACTTGCCAAAGGTGGCCGTATTTGTTTTTTTGCTTTCAAAGTTTTAAAAGAAAACAACCTAAAGACGATTTTTTTTTGTTGTTTGAAAAATATAGGTGCAGATTTGTTAAATCTGGCTTGAAACAAATTATTTATAAAAATCTTTCTTTGTTTTACATTTATATTTGTTATCATTTCCTCATTTCTAAATATGGTTTAGTTTTTTCTAAATATGGTCACCCAAATCATAAAGGCGACCAAATGGGATCAGCTGTTTTCGCTACCGCTCTAATTCTGTTTAAGTAGGGGAAATAGCTGGGCGAACGGTGAACGACAGCATCGCCCAATTCGGCGAAGTTTGCCGTTCGCCGGTATTGTATTTCAAGCATCAGTTTGGTTGCGTGGTTGGGTCGGCGGACGGTGGTTCTCCGTATTTTCCGGTGCATTTTGTACAGGTTATTTATTTACTGGCGATATTTTCGTTTTCATGGCCCAATGAGAACTTTTCGAATTCGTATTCGATTGCTGCCCGCCTTCGCTTGCTCTCCTCCTCCTCCTTTTGTTCAATTCCGGGAGCGCCATGATGGCTCGTTGGCAGGAATCGGCAGGAAATTATACTATGCGCTGCAACATATTGTCGACGGCATTTTCCAATTGTGACTTTATGGCAAGGAAATTTGCCGTTTTGTTTCCGATAAAGTTCTGCTGCCATTCCATTATTGCTTTCACGAAGCGCAGCATACTTTGGTTTTCATCGAATGAATGAAGTCTTCCGCAGTGGGTGGGGTGGGGTTTATCGAGCTGTAGTAGCGCACAGAGTACCGTTGAATGGCCGTTTGTGCGGTAGCAAATTACTTTGATATACAATATTTTTATTGGGTTTTATGGCAATCATAAACGAAATTCAACATTCCTTCCTTTTTTATTGTGGCGAGTTATCCGTGATTTGGCGAAATGTTTCAGCACTCTTTTTATGCTTAAATAATGGATTCGGCCGTCGGTAATCGGAAGCATAAAGTTACTGCAAATTATTCGATATACGAATATTTGATAGCCGCCAGTTGGTGCTAAATGATTTTTTATGCCTAATAAGTGCTATAACAAGTCCTCATGTATGGACATTGATATTAAATACATACATACATTTTATACATTTATTGGACATACATATGGACATGTGCAATGGTATGCTATGAGGATAAAAATTATTGGAATATTCGGTTGTACATTTTGTGTTTATTCGTATGTATATACATTCCGCAGCCGCTGCGGCTGAGTGATTAGAGCTGCGAACTACCACTCCGTAGGACCTGGGTTCTATTATTGGTCCGAGCAACAACTAAATTAGAAAAAGTTGTTTCTAACGGCGGTCGCCCCTGGCAATCAATAATGAACCTCCGGGTGTATTTCTTCCATGAAAAAGCTCCTCATGAAAACCAGTTGCCGTTCAAATTGAAGGAGAAGCTCGGCCAAACGCTTAGCAAAAGTGTAAGCGCAAAAAAATATTATTATTATTATTATGTATACTTTGTTTTATGTACATACACACATAAGAGTAAATACATATGTATGCATGTATTAAAGGCATACACAAACGCTACTTTGGACTGAAAAGGCAATTGAGAAGTAAAGTCCTCTCTCGTCGTACAAAGATCACACTCTATAAGTCACTCATCATGCCTGTGCTGGTGTATAGCGCGGAGGCATGGACAATGAAAACATCTGATGAACCAGCTCTTGGAGCTTGCGAGAGAAAGATTCTGTGAAAGATTTACGGACCTTTACGCGTTGGCGAGGGCGCTGCTCGTACTTGCTTTTTTTTATGTATACTACCGCATTACTTTGAACCACGTTAACCGATTTCGATTATTCTTTTTGCATCGGAAAGGTAGTGTCTCAGAGGTCCCATACTAATCTGGTTTAGATCGGATCATTGAATCATGAAATTTGGTGGCTTTCATGGAAATTTGAAACGCCATAGGAAATCCAAATATCCTTTCGTGATTTTGAAGAAAGACGAACGAATAAAGACAACTGAATTGTGTCGTTATTGCAGAGGACCATTGAAATGTCGAAAAAACAAGTAATTTTTAGCAAAAAAAAAACCGACTTAAAAAAGTATATACATATTTATATATCAATGCTTATCGAAACTCGGCAGTACCTGCATTTCATTTTCTCTTCTTCAATTTTACCTACGAAATGCGATCGAATTGCGCTTCGCTTAGACATCTGACACCGAAAGTGTTTTTTTAAACAACAAATCTGAAAAACTCACCTCAAGTATTTATTTTTTAGACAAATTGCACTAAACGATGCAAAACATTGAAAATTCAATGAAATAAAATGTCTTTTTAGCGCAAGTTCTGATCAGTTGTTTCTTTATGCCCTTACAACGAAAAAAAGAAAGCCAAATGTATTTAAACTACATTTAAATTTTCATTGGAGTGTTGCCACAGAAAATTTTAGTTCACTTTAATGAACCAACTAATGAACTAGTTCAATTAAAAGAGCTGACTCTTTCGCTCTTTAGTTCAAAAGCTCCCCAAGCCTAGTTTTAATTGAAACCTGATTCGAGTGTGTCCATTAAGTTGTAAAATATGATTGTAAATTAAGGCTTTCTTTTTATAAAAGCTTGCTACAACTACAATTACGGACCATAATAATATCTTTATAAATATGTACATATGTATGTACTCGTGCATGCATTCAATCATTTAATATTTTGCATTTGCTAGCAATCTACCGGCTCAAGTAATGCAAGCGCCTAAATATAGATGAAATCGATAATTGTAAAGAGAGGAAATTACAAATATTTCCGGCTTCAAATGGAAGTACTACTTCCGTGTTATTAACAATGCACGAGCGACACCGGTTGTGCACTTGGCTAAGCAGTTAGAGAACAGGGTGTTTTTAACGAAAAAGACAGGGTGGCCTACAGATACAAATATCGTGAAAGAGAATCGAGATAGCATTGAATCTAGCCCAGTTAAGTCTTCTTGGCGAGCCTCCGAGGTTCCCTCCCAGATATCGCTAAACTGACTATGCGCTCAGCTGTCCAAGAGTAGGCCACATGTGGACAAGGGTGACCTAACATGGAGGAGTTCTAACTACATAGGTGCGTATGCCAACCAACGAAGTCCGCAGGGTGCACTAGGACTCCCAGTGCGGAGCGCTGATGCTCCTAGCGAGGCTCCGAAAAGAGTCCCAAAGGAGCATATCCGCGGGAGAAAAGTGCCCTTTCAATATACATGAGAAAAGTGTGCCTTTAGGACTCCTTAAATTAGTGATTTCGTAGTCCCATAAAGCTCCCTTAGATAATTCGCAAAGACACCGTACGGACTCCCCAATTCGGCTATGATTTTGTGAAAAGGACTCCTAAAATCATTCGAAATAACCTAGATGGAGTGTTTTGGGAGTGCTCCAATAATAGACCGAAAAGGAGGCTTTACGGTTTCTGAAAATACTCATAATTTCATTTATAATTATAATTACAATAATTTTCTTTTATCTCTCTTTTTTATTGAAAAAACACTAAATTACAGAAAAAGGTTTAACATACACTGCGTTGCATAATTATAAGACCGCCAAATATTGGCTGCATTTCTTTATACATTCCGGATAATCTCATTTCACAGCCGGAATAAACAGAATGTGTTTGAAATATATGTTAACATATCATCAGGAACGTTCTAAAGAATAAGTAAACAAAAAAGTTTATTCCAAACGTTCAGAATGAATAAAGAAATTCAGCCATTGACAAATTTTAAGTAATTTCTCATAAAAATATTGTTCATTCTTAAAAAAAAAACATATAAATAAATAATTTCAAGCTTTGTGCAAAAATTATAAAAAAGTCAACAAATTTTTACCAAAATTTCACACTTTTAATATAGAATTTTTATTATTATTTTTTTTTTTCATTGTAAAAATTCAATTGATTTAAAATTTTTTCAGACCATGACATAAAAAATCTTATAGACTAGATGCGAAAAAACTAAAAACAAGATAAAAAAAAACACTTTGAGTCCCTTTTCAATCCACACTCGGAGCGCTCCGAAAACGCTCCTACGAGGTGTTGCTTAAGGAGTCCCTTTTCGCTCCATACTCGGAGCGCTCCGTTGCTGAGGGAGTCCCTTTTCACTCCATATTAGGAGCGCTCCGCCTTTGGCTGGCTGGGCTGGTACAAATGAAAGCCTGAAAGCGAAATTTTCTAAATGGTTAGAGGAGAAAGTCAGGCAATGGCCGACTGGTTTCAAACGTATAGGTCGTAACATTATTGAGCTAAAAAATTTAATTACCGACAATGTAGGTGAAAAGTGAGCATCCAGTCAGATATCGTGATTTGTAAGCCAAATCAAACTGACTGGTTCTTAGGCTTAGAGCCATCGTCTCCGTCCATTAAAATATTACTAGGCGTTGTTTAAGAAGATAATAGCCAGTCCATGATAAAAAGCTGCCTAGAAAGTTTTTTCTCGGTGTCAGTACCTTCATACATACATCTTATTTTGTGCGATTGTTCTAAGTGGCTAGACATCCGCTTCTCGATTCCCCTAAAGTTGCAAAGTGGCGGTAGTTAATCGTTCCAACCGCAAAGACGCGACGTATAAAATTTTAATTATTCTTCATACTTTCGTTGTCCAGCCAAATCTAGAAATATTTTCAATGGAGCAATAGTCCTTTTCATGTTGCTTCCAAGTCTAGTTTGGTGATCAAAGCGAAAGACCCATTAGATGAGACACGATTCGCTACATTCAAAACACGGAACTATTCAACGAATTCCGCACCTCAGCCACTTACTTTCATCCGAAAGCATCCATCAAGTTTTCCATTCGCACAGATAAAGACAATAATTTATTTAGGATTACGCTTATTTTCTATTGTACATTTTACAAATTAAAAATACATACAATAAAATTACATTCCTATTTACCGTAGCTATATACAGGTAGCCGTCGAGTGCGACACAACTTTCATTACAAGGTTTTGATTTTACTTTTTTTCTTTCAGTCCACAAAAACCTGCATTTAGGAAGTCAAATGGAAATGAAAATCCTTAGCACACAAAACAGGAAAATAGAAAATATCAAACACACGAAAGATCACAAATCACATAATAGGTCGGCAGCACAAAGTATGTATGTTCATCACACGAGACCAAGGAGACGCGGAGCCAACCTCAGAACTGATGCATTGGGTAGTCGGGTCGATATCGATGGTTGGGTGTGCGCGAGGAGAATTGTGATATCGTGTCATCGCCGTTGGCGGGCATGTTGTGCGGCGGCGCCACCAGCAAAATTGGCTGCAGATTCAGCGATTTCCGTGAGCCGGCCAAGCTGACTGCGTCTGTAATGTAAGCGTTGTTAATCTCGCCTGGTATGAAATGAAAGAAATTTGATTTCGAAGTTCATTCATTTTTTTTCTTCTTAATTTAAACTTACCTTTGTAGAGCGAACTCTGATAGAGGGGATCAGGTTGTAAGCGAACATGTCGCGTGGCCAGTATGAAAGCGAGCGTGGCCAGGACCACACCATCGACACAGCCGATTATGGCAAGAGGATAGGCCCAGCGAATGCCGCAGAGACCAAGTTCAAAACGATTCGCATCAGGGCCGCAAATTTTGCGAAAATCATCTGAATTCCAGCCGAAAGGAAAGGCGGCACAGGCGACAATCATGCAAAGCGCTAAATTAAATGGAGAGAGAAAAACACAATTAATTTAGTATCTAGACAATTAGTTAATAGGAAGTTTTTACCGCTTTTTGAATTTTAAATAGAAAATTTTCTTTCAATTTTTAAATGTTTAATGCGATTTTATACCCCGTGAAGTAATAAGAGACAGAAGAATACTTTATATTGATTTGACACTTCTTATTTGAAAATTTGCCGTTAAAATTTTGCATAACAAAGCTGCCTTTACACGCGTCGATTTTTGTCGTTCAACCAAAATCGGCCAGTATAATTGCAATAGTCGATTTTTCAGTCGACAGAAATCGACCCGTGTAAAGACAGCTTAAGATAGCCAAACGACAGAAAATAAAGCGAGAAAGCTATTTTATTACTTCACCTTGTAATTGTGCCATGTTAGTATACATAAGCACTTCTACATTTAGTTGATACCAACACGAAAAAAAAAATGTTTAAGCGCTCATATTTAAAATATATTGCTGGCGTAGCATTTTTCATTTCCCGTCAAGTATGCACATTTTTATGCACTCGATTTGTGGGTTAGCGAAATTCGGTAGTTGATATATTGAGCATACATATATATTATTTTTTAAACACGTACTGACACATACATACAAAGATACATACATCTACTGTACTTTATAGTATGTACATTAGACTGCATCACTCCCCATACAAAAAAAACAATCGGTACTATTTTTCCATTGGAATTATAAAATCTATTATATTTTAAGACGTGCACCAAAATATTTCGAAAAAATATTAAGATTTAAGTGAGCTGGACAAATTTCAAAATACCTCCAAAAATGGAGTTTTTTATGAATAAAAATAGTTTCTTAAAATTTTTTTTTTTTTTAAATCCCCTCAAATGACAAAACGGTTTAAGCTTAAAAAATTTGCATAAAAATATTTAAAAAAAATTAAAAGAAAATTTGAACGGAATCGTAGTGATGAGATTTTTGATGCTGGTTTTTAACTTTTTTCAAAGATTGGTATAAGAAAAACTTGAATAACTGAGCCTAAACTCTTCTGATTTAGACTTAGGAGGTGTCGGTGGAAAGGTATTTTTTCACCCTTTTTATTTCTTTGCTAATAAACTCATTCAGGGGATGAAAGAGAAAGGTAGGATGAACGAACGTCATTCAAAGTTGAATTAAGTTTGTTGGTATTTGAAAAAAATAAATAAATTGGGACACGAATGATTTTTTTTTTGACAGAAGTAAAAACAGTGTGAAAATACCTTTCTACTGAGGTGCCATAAGTCTAAATCAGAATAGTTTTGGCCCAGTTATTCAAGTTTTTCGTAAGTCAATCTTTGAAAAAAGTAAAACAAAAAAAAAGCATCAAAAATCTCATTCTTACGATTCCGTTGAAAAGATTTTTAAATATTTTTATGCAGATTTTTTAAGCTTAATCTGTTTTGTCATCTGAGGGGACTTTTTTCAAAAAGTTCTTTACGAAACTATTTTTATTCATAAAAAACTCCATTTTTGGAGGTATTTTCGAATCGGTCCAGCTCACTTAAATCTTAATATTTTTCCCAAATGTTTTGGTGAACGTCTTAGAATATAATAAATTTTGTACTCCCGGCGGAAAAACTGCAACTTTTTTTGATGATGCAGTCTAATGTACATATATACTGACCTGATATGATTTGCATCCAACCGCATATGTGAAAGACTCTCGTCGACTTCATGAAGATCAAGAATACCAAGAAGCAGATTGTCAGCAAGGCCAATGCCACCGCCGCAACCATAAAGAATGTTGCCAACTGTGTATTCAGCGCGCCGATGATGGTTATGGTGAGTGTGGGTGCCGTTGTTGTTGGTACGTGAGCGCAAACAATGGTTAATTAAACAAATAAGAAATAGAAAAAATTAAAAAATAAATAAAACAAACAAGAGTAAGATATATGGGTAGATAAAATAGCAGATAAACGCATAGCTTGATATGCCCAAAGGTGGCTGCGTTTTACGCACTTGGAACGAGAATGTTGGCACTGAAAGTATGGTCTCCCAACGTCGCTTGCAATTGTCGAATATCTCATCGCGCTGACACACCTGCCACAGACCTAAGCGTCCCGCACTTTCATTGTCCGGATCGCCGACCCATTCTGTAAAGAAATTGCAAACAATGCGATTAGAAACTGGCTTAGATAAACAAACCATAAAATATATTTGTAAAATATTTTGAATGAAATGGTCTTATTTAGCGCAAATTTTCTTGAAACAAAGCTTTATGTGTTATAACAATTTTCTCAAAGTTGTGTTGTTTTGTACTCCTTATACATATGTACGTATGCATACTCGATCGGTGTAGAAAACTAATCTAACTTGGCCATTCCATTCGATTGTTGACTGACACACTAACCTGGCGTCACAAAGGCAACGATGCCGATGATTGCATAGCATATTGTGAATATCGCCCAAAGTACGGCTATGGCTTTTGAATTGCGTATGTATTTGGTTGCATAGAGATGCGTCGTGTCCACGTACTCGATCTTTGTGCCCATTTTCCAGCTTACAAATGATTTTGCACACTCACGACTTTGCCGACTTCACAGTGGATTTCGCTGAAGCGAATTGTTGTTGGATGTAAAGTAAAGTAAATACAATTATGTTTTATTATTGATATTGTTGTATGTATTATTACAAGTGTATATACGTATGAAAAAAAAAATTAATTTTGCTGAGTACATATTTTTAAGCGTTAGAGAATACCAAAACATGAAGGCTAATTAAAAGAAGCGAACATTAAAAAGTGTTTAGCCACAGAAAAAAACGCAGCAGAAACTTAAAATTGTTGATATCTTAAGCTGCTTACATTTTTTACGTGAAACGAATAGTTTGGTATGAGGCAGTTGAATGACCGAAGTTGCCGTCAAAGCAGCTTACGGTATTCACGGCAGAAAAAAAACGTCTGTCGACGGCTTAAAGTCTTTGAAGTCAACTTGCAACTAATCAATCATTGGTGTAAAACCGGTGAAGTACTTCTTAATCCTAACCTGATATTCAATGAATATAATTGCTATGTATCGAAAATTGAGCTAGTAATTATTGTGGTTAATACTTGGCAGGTGTAATCAGCCGGACTCCGTAAAACGAATATTTTTACTTACGATCAGTAAAGTCTCGCAGATTCCTCGAACTGCTACCAAGGTTGTGAAAATTTACACTTAAATCTAATCTAAATCTTCGGTTAACAATTTTTTTTAGGTTAGGAGAAGAAATAAGAACCAAGTGGGCCAGATCGCAACCTGAACAGTGTCAAGAGAGAGGTAGTATGCCCTTTGAGTTAACTTCTTTAAAGCCTTGTGTATATTCCACGCTGAACTAGCCTTAATTTACCGCGAGAGATTAGTTAAATGGTATTTGGAGGGTTTAAATACTTAAAGAGCGAATCGATTTTCTGTCTGACCGGACAAAGGTCGAATGATCACTTCAACAAATGTCCTAAAACGTTTAGTCCCAGTGCAGATGGAGAAATAGACCTCATATTTACTTCATCTTATTAGGTACTATAACTCTATATCGGTGTGGTCCAAGACCAAAGAAGCTTCGTCCATAGCACTGAACTCCAAGTAAATAGTACCAGTTGACCGGACTGCAGAGTTATTATTCGCTTGATCACCAGGATAGCGTTATTTTTTAGTGTTAATTTTCGAAAAGCTTAGCCGGTATACTTTCCAAGAAGTTTGTTGTTTTGAACCCGTAATATTGCTGCTCTCGCCTCATCTTGGTGGAGTGAAGAGATGTCGCTATAAGGGGCCACCAGTGTCTCAAAGAAGGTTGAAAATACTCCATTCATTTCTGTTTTACCCAGCGATTTCTTTCTTGTAAGCATATATATCATGTGAGACTTTCCTAATCTCTGCGTCCTATAGATTTCGTTATGAGGGTCTAGGATGTTCGGGATAGAAACTTCTAATTTTTTGAGACTTTAAACTTCAAACTTAGCTCAGAACCAAATGACAATGCAATATGAGGGATGAATAAATTCGTTCATATTTTTGAATATGTATATGTTACTTGCATGGATGGAAATAACTCCATAAAATTTTCTTGGGACATTTATTGGACCACAAATGAAACCTGAGTATCATTTAGTGGTAGCAGGCACCTCTAATCATTGGGTTACAAACGTTTTAAATTGTATTCATTTGGGCGCTTAATACTTGCGATAATGCGTTAATTGAGTGGTCATATAAAGAGGAGTAACTTATATTTAAGTAGCGAATCATTTACTTACTAAAAATCGGACTGCATATTTAGTTTGCATTTATTAATTAACTAAAAAGTTAAATTAAAACGTAGAATACGTGGTATGGTTAAGAGCACATCCAAGTTAAAAACGAAAGCACACACTAAGAAAAAAATATCGATAGCAAAATCGATAACAAAATCGATAACAAAATCTATAAAAAATCTATTACAAAATCGATAACAAAATCGATTAAAATATCGATAACAAAATCGATAACAAAATCGATAAAGAAATATCGTAGCAAAATCAATAACGATATCGATAAAAATTTCGATGACCAAATCGATAAAAAATATCGATAACAAAACCGATAAAATATCGATAATTATATCGATAAGTCCCGAAAATTCCGAAAATCTCTAAAATCCCGAAATAGTCCCCAGATTTAGTCTCTATATTCTTTTCTCTATAGTTACCTTTATTTTAATATTTTTTCCTCTATCTTCATCTTTACTTTTATCGATATCCTCATCCTCATATTTTTCTTTATATTTATCTTTGTTTTTATTTTTATGCTTATCATATTCCCCTTCACTTTTGCTTTTTATAAATATTGCGCCATCTGTTATTCAAAAGCCGAAATACCTACACACACTCATACTTTTTATTATTATTATTATTATTATTATTATTATTATTATTATTATTATTATTATTATTTTATATATGACAGATGTACGGTAAGACATATAGTCTTTTCATTGCACAAATTTAACATTTAAATTACAGATCTTAAAATGATGACGAAGTGATTTTGTATGGAAAATTACTTATACCCATATATTTAAATAAAATAAACATACTTCGAATATATCAACCAATACTTCACATACACCAAATGAAAGGAAAAATCTTGAGTTTTTGATTAAAGAAAACAAAAACAAAATCATTCAAGCGGTTTTCCAGCATTTTGGAAATAAAAAAAATTTGCGAATTTTGTCAACATTTTTTGCATTAAAATGCTCAATATTTGTTGAACTTATATACAATTTGTACACGATAATATTTCTATTGCTCCAAAAGAAACGAAAATGAAAGTTTTACCTGCAAACCGTAAGTTGCTAGAGCACTTTAAAGGCTGTTTCTACGACAGAACCCGAATTGGTTACTTACAAAACTAAATCTGTCGATAGGTTTGGAATTATATCTTTGAAACGCCACACTTCTCTTTCAAATCGCTTTATTAGTTCTCGTGCAATAAGCGTTTTCGTAAAGCTCTAAAAATTACAACTACAACATTTGAGCATAGCCCCAAACGTAACGAAACGTAAGACATACTTATACTACGTCAAAAATTTTGATGAGAGTGTCATCTTACAGAGATTCTATGAACTCTCAGAATACGTTTTTTTTTTATTTCTGAATGTGTGTGCTAGTTCTCATGTGCATCTCTCTCATGTTCCCTTTTATCGCCGCTTGACCAATATAAACAATCGCAACAAAATGTTCGTTCACTCTCTCTAAACTTATTTACTAGCTTTCTCTTCTTACACGATATTTCAAAATGGTTTAACATTAATCTATAAACAATCGATTCTTTCGATTCTTTTGCATTAAAAGTAATGATTTTCAAAAAATATCGTAAGGCTTAGCCCAACGTATGACGTTTCAAATACAAAAGACTTAGGCTACGAACTCGCTACATCACTAAGCAAATGAAAAAATACATTCATACCATATAAACATACAGCTTTGCATCATCCATTCACAAGATGTTTACATATTTCAATTTGCCAGCACGCAGCATCACTTAGCTTTCCATTAATCAAAAAATTAAAAAAAAAAATTAAATATTTGTTCATCACAAAACACTCTCACTTCTGCTGCTCCTAATGGTTTTCGCTTTTTCAACGAGTTTCGTCAGCTCCGCTGGCAAAAATAGTGCGTGGATGAGCAAAATGGAATAAAACCAGCTGGCATTCTTTGGCCATAAAAATAACCAGCTCGTGTGATTGGCCACATAAATATGGTACGTGATTCGCATAACTCTGCGATTTTTGGAGTTCGAAATTTGAAACGTGATTTTTTTCAAAACTTGCTTAAAATTTAGATGAAATTAAATTTTTTGCATTTATTAACTCTACTTTGCTAAAACTATTTATTCATTTGTTTACAAAATATGTATATATGTATGTATGTATGTAGATCACCGAACAAGGTGTGTACTTGTGTGTAAATTTATGAAAGGTTATATTCAGGTTCAAACTTATGCAAAATACTGATTGTGCCATAGATTTGCGCACACATACATACATACACATATAAACAAATTCTTCGTACATGCTTGCGCGAGTTCAACTTCGGCACTGGCTGCCTTGCGCTGTTCAATAAAAGTGAAAAATGCTACATAAAATCGAGAAAATAAATCCATTAACGAACGCCAATTTAATTGCTAAGGTCGTTTGCGTGCGCAAGCATTACAACAAAAATAACATTAGTAAAAGCAAACGCAAAAAAAAAGTAGCAAACACAATTGGACCAGCATCCATAGAAACACAATAGCGATAAAAATCCAATGCGAGTCATAGGCGTGCGATGGTATTTTAGACAGAGGGGGTTAAGATCTGATGTTTTTCATTTTTTTTTTTTTTGCACAATAATCGTAGAGCGATGAAGTTAAGAATTAAGAATTCGTATGCTGAATTTTCACTAGGCATTTAATTCATTTTCACATGACATTTTTTAAATTCCTCTAATTTTTTAACACTGCACTGCCTAGTGGAAATTCGGCATTATGCTTTACTTAAAATTTTTTTTTAGGTTAGTAAACTTTTTACCTAAAAACCTGTTTTAAAAGGAAAAGTATGTAAGTTGCTTAGATCTTTTGATTGGAAACGAATCTGCCTCATCAGTGGTTCGGCGACAAACTGATTTCGGAGTTGTGCTGTCTTTAGTGTCATTTTTCGTTCTTACCAAAGAAAATTCGTTTCAAAAAAACATACATCATCATCGAAGCCGCACCAAAAAGACGACTTATATTAAGAATTTAGATTGGCCACCCTGTTTACCGTAAAAAAAAAAAGTTCTTTGAAAGGCAGTTGCCACCGCTTTTTTTTGTTTTAACCCTCCTTTGAAACGCCACAGGTTCAGCTGGCTGTACTATATTTAAAGTGCATACGGACAATACGTGCTCATGCTTTATTGGACATGGCGACTTTTTGAGAATTCAGCTTGGTTTTTTTTTTTGCTTTGCTCGTTTTTCTTGCAAACTTTTGACATTTACACGCTTTCGGCGCTGTAGCTGCAACTGAGCCAAACAAATAACAATGGTGTGTGTACTTAGCGTCGTCGGCTGGAGGCTGATTGGAC